GGATCCAGTAGGGATGTGAGGGCTAGGACTTAGTGGTAAGCTCCAGTGATAACCAGAAGTGTCTTTATGGATGCAACCATTCAGCCCTAAGTCTAAACTGACTACAGCAGTCTCTTTTATAAAAGCAAATCATTCATATCCAATTCTGGTCATGCATGACATGATAAATTAGGATGATGTAACCATCGACTGCAGCTAGGGGATGTACTTTAATGGATGACTCCAGTTGTCAGACAATTGCTATTACAGATAAAAGGTTGTCAAACATTTTAAAATGTCTTCTTGTGGCCAATAGCCAACTGCTGCATTATCAGTGGAGGTGAGGGAATAATGTTCTCAGCACTAAATCCTACTGTTGACAGAATCAGAAGGTCCACAATGGGCACAAAGATGGCCAGATATCCCACTGCCTATATACAGTGGGGATTGAAAGTTTGGGCACCCCAGCTAAACATTTGTATTAATGTGCATAAAGAAGCCAACCAAATTTGGAAAAATCTCCAAAAGGCATCAAATTACAGATTAGACATTCTTATAATATGTCAACAAAAGTTAGATTTTATTTCCATCATTTACACTTTCAAAATAACAGAAAACAAAAAAATGGCGTCTGCAAACGTTTGGGCACCCTGCAGAGTTAATATCTTGTACTGCCCCCTTTTCAAAGCTGAGACCTGCCAGTGTCATGGATTGTTCTCAATCATCGTCTGGGAAGACCAGGTGATGTCAATCTCAAAGGTTTTAAATGCCCAGACTCATCTGACCTTGCCCCAACAATCAGCACCATGGGTTCTTGTAAGCAGTTGTCTAGAAAACTGAAACTGAAACTAGTTGACGCTCACAAAGCTGGAGAAGGCTATAAGAAGATAGCACAGCGTTTTCAGATGTCAATATCCTCTGTTCGGAATGTAATTAAGAAATGGCAGTCATCAGGAACAGTGGAAGTTAAAGCAAGATCTGGAAGACCAAGAAAAATATCAGACAGAACAGCTCGCAGGATTGTGAGAAAAACAATTCAAAACCCACGTTTGACTGCACGATCCCTCCAGAAAGATCTGGCAGACACTGGAGTTGTGGTACACTATTCCACTAAAAAGAGATACTTGTACAAATATGGTCTTCATAAAAGAGTCATCAGAAGAAAACCTCTTCTATGTCCTCACCACAAAAATCATCGTTTGAACTTTGCAAATGAACATATAGACAAGCCTGATGCATTTTGGAAACAAGTTCTGTGGACCGATGAGGTTAAAAATTGAACTTTTTGGCCGGAATGAGCAAAGGTACGTTTGGAGAAGAAGGGGCACAGAATTTAATGAAAAGAACCTCTGTCCAACTGTTAAGCATGGGGTTGGATCAATCATGCTTTGGGGTTGTGTTGCAGCCAGTGGCACAGGGAACATCTCACGAGTAGAAAGAAAAATGGATTTAATAAAATTTCAGCAAATTTTGGATGGTAAGTTGATGACATCTGTGAAAAAGCTGAAGTTAAAGAGAGGATGGCTTCTACAAATGGATAATGATCCTAAACACACCTTGAAATCCACGGGGGATTACATCAAGAGGCGTAAACTGAAGGTTTTGCCATGGTCTTCACAATCTCCTGACCTCAACATAATTGAAAATCTATGGATAGACCTTAAAAGAGCAGTGCGTGACAGACAGCCCAGAAATCTCAAAGAACTGGGAGACTTTTGTAAGGAAGAATGGGCAAAGATACCTCAAACAAGAATTGAAAGACTCTTGGCTGGCTACAAAAAGCGTTTACAAGCTGTGATACTTGCCAAAGGGGGCAGTACAAGATATTAACTCTGCCGGGTGCCCAAACTTTTGCAGACGCCATTTTTTTGTTTTCTGTTATTTTGAAAGTGTAAATGATGGAAATAAAATCTAACTTTTGTTGACATATTATAAGAATGTCTAATCTGTAATTTGATGCCTTTTGGAGATTTTTCCATCTTTAGTTGGCTTCTTTATGCACATTAATACAAATTTTTAGCTGGGGTGCCCAAACTTTCGATCCCCACTGTATATACTCTGGGACATCTGCCCATAAAATCTCTGATAATCTCTCCAAATACATAAGCAACTAAATACCTTAATGTACTGTACATTCATCGATTTGATGAAGTCATTGGTTTATTCTTTAGCATTGCACACAGGTTCAGAGGGAGGTTTGCAGCTTGACAATGTAATTTATGCCTGCAGTCTAATTTGGGAACTATATAATAAGGCACATATTTCCTTTGTTGTTCTTTTAATGCCAAGAGCTTTGCTGTGTTGGACCCTGTAGTGCAGTACTGAATGTATCAGAGATAAATTCAAATGTCATATCCCAATTATAATAGTTAACGTTGCAAAATATTTTAGACCACAGTAGCTGAATTCTGCCCTTTTGCAAAGGCCAAGTCAATGCAATGCCTCTACTTTGTGTCTGAAATAATTTGTACAATAGTTTTTTTTCACTGTCTCCAGAAATAAAGCTAGAGAGATTGGTAAGAGAAAGATAACTATAATGCAGAGTTTGATCTTGGTTTCTGCTTGAATGATATATACGCAGTTTGAGTTCTCAGTAGCATTTTCTATCATTTAAAGTAGAACTCCAGTAAAAAATATGTTTTGGATAGAGTGGGTAAATCTGGCTATACATGGGTAGTTTTATTTTTCAGCTATTGGACTGAACGAAAAAAAAAAACCTGACATATTCCATCATCCTCTCAAATGAATTGGATGGAGAAATCCCCCTACCATTACATTGTGTTATGTCAGCAGGACCTGCCACTGTCAGAATACACTGATCAGCTGATCGACAAAAGGTTTCTAGCATGTCCCTTTACCAGAAGTCATTCAAATGATCTACTTCTTTTAAGTAGGGATGGCCACACACTGATCAAAATTTGTCAAGTCCTTGCTGAGCCGGAATAATTTTTATTATTATTACAGGTTCTTATGTAGCGTTGACAATTTATGCAACGCTTTAAAATATATATTGTACATTCACAAGGAATGCCATCAAGGAACTTACAATCTAAGATACCTACATCACATACATACATACATTCATTGGCCAATTTAGGCAGCAGCCAATTAACCTACCAGCATGTCTTTGGGAGGTGGGAGGAAATCGGAGTACTGGGAGGAAACTCAAGCAGGCACAGGGAGAACATGCAAACACCATATAATTCTGTGGTTGGCGTTCAAACTGATGACCCTTGTGCTGCTAGGTGGAAGTGCTACTTTGATCAGTTTGTGGCCAGCTTAAAAGTTTGAACAAGGTTTGATTGTAGTCTGTGCCCCATTGTGCAAGCTTGTCTTGCAAGATGTGCTGTCCCAGGAACAAATTTTTCAAGGCACATCTGGATGTACTCAAAGACAGAAAGGTTAATGCAGTCTTGCCGAAAACAGTAATTATGTTCATCAACACATCATATAGCAATTGTTTACAGGTTGCATGGACAATGTTGAATTTTTGTGTGCATTTATACTTTAAACTTGGAAAGACCAACCAGTTTACTTTTATTGTCAGTTTTATATTATCCATTTAATTCACTTTTATCAAGATTTTCATTGTGCTTCAGGGCGGGAACCATGAACCATGAAATACAATGCCCAGCATTTTTGTAGGCTTACATTCAGAGCCATTTAGTAAAATATTTACCTGCAACCATATGCACTAAGCATGCAGTTTAGCATGGATATCAGACAGACTGGAAATTAGGATCTCTGAGTATTTAGCATGAATTTTTCTTTTATATTTTGTTGCACCATACCTGGAGCCCTACTCAGGTTTTCCTTTAACATACATGAAACCAATACATTTTGTAAAGGCCAAGTACAGCCAAACATAAGATATTATCTTGGGAATGTACCTGCTCTGGATCCGTCCAAAGGTTCTTTTTAAACAGACATAAGACTAGTACATTTTTAAACAGAGTGGGTAAAGCTGGCAATGAGACAGCCAAGTAAAGCAAGTGGGTGAGGTTTGGAACTTTAGGCACATTTAAAAGACACAAATTATTGCAGCTTATCATTAAATGTGTTTGTAACTGCAAGTAGTATAAGTCCCTGATTCAGCTTCTTGCAGCCCCTGTTTAGCAGAGCTGTAGTGTGAGGGAAAGAAGCACAAGGAGCCAATCAGTTCATAAAGCATGCTGATAAATCAGATAAATAAAGAGAAATCAGAGGGACAGGGAGATGAGTCCATCATTGTGCTGCATCTGCTTTTACCTTTAACAGGCTAAAATGGTTCCAGAATGACCTTGGTGTAGAAGAAGTGAGTGGATTATCTGGTCATAGGGCTTTGGACTTCTAGTGGCAGAAAAACGTACTGTGGCTGGACTGATGGTGACTATTGCAACAACAGCTGTTTTTTTTAATCTTTTATTGGGCTATTTATTTTTATTTTTTTTTATTTCTGGCTGGAGTTCTCCTTTAAGGGCAAAAGCCTTGTTTTTTCTTCTCTAAGGGATTAAAAGCACATGGTGGATGATCAACCCAATGGCATCCATCCAAAAGAGAAATATAATTTTTAGGTGGCCTGTTCTTCAAGTGAGTAAATGAAACTCTGCAAATCCAAATGCTGCATAAATTTTCAATTTAATTTTAAATAATAGAACCTATAGACATAAATCAGTAGTATAGCAGACGAGTGCTTTAAACATAAATTTGTATGTGCGACTTATGTGCCTGCCACTTCCCTTCAAATGTGCTGAGCTTTCTGTGATGAAATTTTCCTGCACAATTAAACACTTTTCTACATTTGTGATGATTTTTGACACATCCAGAATAAATTATAGCTTTCTTTGTTTTCTAATGGACATATCTCAGGGGACGGCTATTGTGGAATGATTTGTTTTGACAAGCGAATCAACATGACGATATTCCTTGGTGCAATGCTAATTTGAAGGGTATTGAAAGTTGCTGTTTCAGATGCACTTTTCATTTAGGCATCCTTGATTTAATATTTGTTGAAACTACAAGATATTTTTTTTTTATTTTAGCTGGAAGTACAAGTTCCTCCAGGTACAACTGTTGGCTACATTGTCCAGAAATGGGATCCGCTCCTGCCTAAGTTCACAATTCAGAATGAGAGCAAAGAAGATGTGCTGATGATTATTGGTCCATATTTAACATTCAGCTGCTTAGGTGATGTGGATTTTGAGGTATGACTCATTATACTTTAATTCTTGTTTGTGCATAAAGAGAAAAGGGAAGATGAAAAGGGAACACCTAGGGACTGCTTTTTGTTCTAACTGAAAGCCTGCACATATTGTTGGCATCCTGTGGCTATCCATCTGTTATGGAACTACAAGCTCTTCTAGTTGGTAAGACATGCTGGAACTTAGAGTTCCAAAACACCTGAAAAGGCAGAGGTAGTGTAAAGGAAATCCATTTTATTATTAGATATACAGTAATATATATATATATATATATATTTGTATATTATTATTATTATACAGGATTTATATAGTGCCAACAGTTTGAGCGGTGCTTTACAATGTGAGGGCAAACAGTATAGTCACGATACAATTCAATACAGACACTGAATGTTTGGTGGATGAGCCTGGCAGCAGCATTCATGATGGATTGGAGGTCGGATAGCTTATGTAAAGGTAAGCCAATGAGGAGGGAGTTGCAGTAGTCGAGGCGAGAGATAACCTGGGAGTGAATTAGGAGCTTTGTGGTGTCATTGTTTATGAAGGGGCATATTTGGAGATGTTGTGGAGGTTGAGACAGCAATCTTTGGAAAGTGATTGAATGTGGGGCCGAAAGTAGAGTTCAGAGTCCAGGATTACACCTAGCACCCTGGCATGCGGGGACGGGTTGATGGTTGTACCACTGATATTGACAGAGAAGTCAAGGGAAGGGGCACGTGGGGGAGGAAATATTAAGAGCTTAGTTTTAGATAGATTGAGTTTGAGGAAGTGGTGTGACATCCAGTCTGATATTTCAGTCAGTAAGTTTGTGATGCGTGAAGAGACTGATGTTGTGAGCTGAGGGGTAGAGAGATAGACTTGTGTGTTGCCAGCATAGAAATAATATTGAAAGCCATGGTAGGCTACCAGCTGATCCATGGAGGAGGTGTAGATCGAGAATAGGAGAGGTCCGAGTGTTCTGTCTCTCCAATCTAAGCATTGATAGTTTGATCTCTGTAACTTACAGTTGTGATGAGATAGCGATAACTTCAACCTCAGGTGGATACCACAGTCAGTGACTCAATCAGAATGATATCTTGCAGATCTTGTGAAGTTTATTTCCATAAACTGAGAGAATCTTACAACAATGAACATTTGATAGGTCAAAAGATCATAATGTGATCTACTTCATGACATGAGGCTAGAGCTGCAATGCATTTCTGGGAAAGAGGGAGGGCTATCTTTACAGCATTAACTAAACCAAAGGAAAGGGAGGAGCAGAAACAAAATATAGAAACACTTAAAGGCATATGACAGTCATGTGAAACATGACACCAAGATAGAACCTTTGGGGACCCTGATGGAGAAAAGAAGAGGAGAGGAGGAAGTAGAATTGTAAGTGACACTGAAGGTGCAGTGGGATAGGTAGGATAAGAACCAATGAACAGCACAGTCATGGAGACCAAAGGAATAAAGTTTTTTGAGGAGGAGGGGGTGGTCAACCATATCAAAGTCAGTCGAAAGGTCCAGAAGTAGGAGTACAGAATAGTGTCCATAGGTTTTAGCTGTTAGTAAATTGTTTGTGAGTTTTAGGAGAGCAGTTTCTGTTGAGTGTTGAGGGTGAATTCCAGACTGAAGGGGATTAAGAAGGTGATTCTTAATGAGGTGGCCAGGGAGTTTGAAGGAAAAAGGGGAGCAAGGATATGGGATGTAGGTTGTAAAGATTGGTGGGGTCCAAGGAAGGCTTTTTAAGTATGGGAGTGACTAGTGCATGTTTTAGAGTGTTGGGGAAAATGCAAGAAGAGAGGGACAGATTGAAGATGTGAGTTAGAGAGTGTAGGATAGAGTCAGAGGGTGACCCCAGTATTTCAGAGTGAATAGGGTCCAGGGGACAGATGGTTAGGTGGGTGAAAAGTTTAGCAACCTCATCTATAGTAGCAGAGTTGAATAAGGGAAGTGTTGAGTGTACCTGTGGACATGGGATGTTGGATGGGGGAGGGATATCTGTATAGTGGAGATTTCACAAAAATGTTATCAATCTTATTCTTGAAGTGATTGGCCATCTCCTGGGCAGTGAGTGAGTTAGTGGGTGGAGGTGTGGTGGAGGACGAAGTAGAGAGTAAAGGTATAGAAGAGTTGACGGGGTCTGGAGGAGAAGGTGTTAATGAGAGAAATAAAATAGGTCTGCTTGGCAATGTGGAAGCAAGTTGAAGTCTTTGTGAGGCTTAGTCTTACGCCAAAGATGCTCAAGAACGCAGCTGAATTTTTTAAGACTTCTGATATCGTCTGTCTGCCAGGGTTGTGGGGGTTAGGGCCTCAATCTGTGTGTAGATAGAGGGGTGAGCTGGTCCAGGGTGGAGAGGATCTATTGTATTTTGTCATACAGGTGGTCAGTAGCAGAGTAGAGAAGTGAAGGGTTAAAGTGGCAAAGGCCTCTGTGGGTAATTGCTAGACAGTTGGAAGAAGAGGTGGTGTAAGACATGGAGAGAGCAAAACTAATAAGGTGGTGATCAGAGAGAGGCAAAGGATCGTTGAAGAGGTTGTAGGATTGAGTGCATAAGTAGGTATGTACTGTATGTGTATATACATATATGATTTTTTTTTTGTATATACACCAATATATATATATATATATATATATATATATATACATACACACACACACATACAAGTTCCCAAGTGAAGAAGCACTGTTAAGCCTTGGGAATGAGGAGTAGGGAGCATATTATTGAGCTTCATGCTTTACATGTACATTTACTTTCAGATACATGTGCTTCGTTGTTTTAACAAACACACGAAAATCGGATCTGCAGTGCCTTTTCTGATGCAGTGCACTGCAAAGAACGGTACCTTTTCTCTCTGTCATAGTGCACTTTGGGCGCATTGATTTAGTGTATTCCAAATGAATGGCACCACAGTGCATCACAGTTTGTGTGCAGTGCCTCAAGTTACAATAAGGATCAATAAAACGCTAGTTTTAACACATATTAGATGAATGAACTAATTGACATTATTTGACAGCCTACCTATCCAGTCAGTTTACCTATTCATTCCACTTCAAACAGCCAATCGTTTTTTTTTATTACCTTGGGTATTCAAAGTGTACACAGCTTAGCCTTATTCAGTAAGCTAAGTAAGGCTAACCACTCATGCTTAGGTTTCTGTTTGTCTGTATTGCCAAGTAAGTTATCTTAATCTCCTAATTGTTAAATTTAAAATGATCTTCTATTTCTAAATTGAGCGCCAAACGTAAAGTCTATACATTTAATGACTGTTGCTGAAGTGCTGATATTTTGACGTGTAGAAATTCACTTTGGACCTGAAATGGAGTGGAAAGAACATATCCTGTTCTAACCAAAAGTAACTAAGTGCAACCAGCACTACAGTTAAAACAGTGCATAAACTTTCTGTGACCAGGCTCCACTTAAAAATACACTGTCGAGGTTACTAAAAAAATAACCACTGCAACCAGTGTGACATTTCTTTTTCTCTGAAAGTACAGCTGGCTGTGACAAAAGCGGAAACTTACCTCTTGTTATCTTACCCCTTGGAATCTTGTTTGAGATGTAATCCTATGATGAAGCAGGCAGAATATGATCCCAGAGTTTTCACGTTCATGTAGAACTGTCATCGTGAATCCTGGTGTTAGTAGTCTATCAGTAAAGATCCCTCTATAATGGCCACAGGAGTAGTTGATTGTTTTCTGTTCAGTCCCAGGTTTAGCCAATTTGATAGTTGTAGACTGGATGTCGGTATGATCTGCAGTAAGCAAGATCATCAAGAATTGGTAATGAATTCTAGAAGAGATGGTTTAGGAGTGCAGGATACCCAAAAAGTGTATAAAAATAGGACAGGTATTCTGAAGCAGCAGGACCTTTAATAGCTGCCTCTCAGTAACTTCTGTCCCTGCGAGATCAACTAGACAGATCTATGACCATGTAAGAGCAGTCACAGGCTTTTAGGTTGCAGTGGGTCTCACTCTAATAAATCTGGCTCTTGACCCTCTGATCAAATACCTAGAAGTAGTCTCTACCTTGCTTCTCTGCAATACCCTTCATCAAGAAGACTCTTTACAAATTTTGCCTATCAGGCAGGCATCTTCTTCCCTAGTTCCATCTGGCTAACACCCTCCAGCAGAGCAGCTATAGTCCTGACCCTCCAGCACATACCCAGGCTGAGGCAAGGTCCAAGCAGAGAGACACTCCAAGTAGACATCCTCTCTGGGCAGAGGCACAGGAGGGAAAGTACACTCTGGAAAGGTGACCCAAATTTGGTCAAATACTTATTGATAACTCAGTGATTGTCCTTCACACTCTAAATACTGTTGCCTCCTTTATGGTAACAGATGAAGCAACCATCCCCCTGAGCTTAGGGAAGACCTGCAAAGCTAAGAAAATTAAAAAAAAAAAGATATTCAGGCTGGATACAGCAACAAAACACACTAAATGTAACTGTGGTCACAGTAACATAGGGCAGTTATGTAATCCATGGTAGGTATATACAAACTGGATGAATCCTGTAGATATCACAGCTCAGAAAGTGTATGTTCTTGTTTTGCTTTCAGAGCACATGGAAACATGCACCATATGATGTTAGAAATCAGAGGCAGACTGCAAACCAAAGTGACTGAAATAACCTTTCTTAGAGTTATACCCCTTCAACGTTTTCTGATAAAGGTGATTGAAATGTCAGAGGAATAATTGCAGCTGTAAATGCTCTCTGCCAGTACCAGTTAACCTTTCTATCATATTCCTGTTAATACCTACTTCTAAGGCAATCACATGTTTTATTATCAACAGTAAAGTTCAATGATCAGACTAGAGTATGCCTGCACCATGGTGGGAACATTAGTATTATTCTAACCATTACCTTGTATCCCTTCATTTGAGTCCAGTAATATGAACTCGTTTATAGTTCATTGTGCTATGGTGTCTCAAGAAAATAATGTGGATGTAAAATATAAATCAAAATACAGGACAGGTCCTCACATTTGTTTCTATAATGATATTTTACTGGCCTGAATGCCAAATGAT